CTAATCAACAACATCATCATCATCAACCTCCACCTCCTGGGGTCGCGTTGCGTAACCGCGCTTCCGGTTCGCTCAAGGTATAACAATAACAACAACCAAAAGCGCAAATTGCATGCCACGCGAATTATCCCAACTGCATGTGTGTGCAATTTACTTCTATATTTCCGACTCCTTTATTACTTTTGTGCAAATATATGTATATGCACATATATCAATTTTTATCGTAAACGCTCACTGAGCGAGATACACACATTCATATGTGTAAACGCAGTGCACAGAAACATATAATGTTATATAAATGCAGAAAGAAAGAAAATACAATCCTAAATCGATACAATATATATATTTATATATATATATATATCCACGTTTTATAATGGAACGAGTCTGGGTTATTCACCTACTAGATCCACGTTCCGCATGATGCGAGTTAATAAATGACGAGGAGAGAAAGAGTGAGAGAACTGTGAAGAGGAAGAACGGCAGCCCTCTGTTACGCACAGAATCGCACGTAGACTCGGCCCACCCTAATCTATACGTCCCTATTCCGTTGCACCCTTCGCGCGCGCTTCTGGGGGCTTCCCCTAAATAACGTGCGGCTGCAAATGCACCGCTGAGAACCTTTGCAACATTAACGTCGGGCAATCAAATCATCTGATTTGGATAATTAATTACTCCTTAAGTATGAGATTCCAATCAATCCGACTAATGTCGAAACAATAAGCTCATTTCAAATCAACTTACACTCTCAAATGTTTATATAATTTATAAATTTTGTAATTCTCTATACTTTTACCGAAGCTGTACATACATATTATCTGTCAATGTACTTACTTTGTATACAAACTCTATACAATTGTTTATATAATTTTAAAGAAATTCTTACTGGCTTTGTATACAACCTTAAATATTACAAAGACGTAATTGAAAATGTTTAACAATAAATCAATTGAATGTATTTATTGTGTGTACATAAATAGTATGCAATTGTTTACATAATTTCGAAATTTTTCTTATTTGATTTCACAAATATTCATACAAAGTAATTCTTCAAATTCACTTTAAATTTACAGATACAATTTCTTGAATTTTGTAGAAACAAATGAACTTTTCAATTGAAATTTTTTTGATTAATATATAATATACATTATAATATTGTTAGTGAGTTATAATAGAAACACTCAGGATTATTGGAGAATTCTTGCAAGTGCGCTGTAACGGAACATCGAAGTAAGATGTATTAATGATGAATGGATGATACGCAGTGAAAGGGAAGAAGTATATGCACAAGGACGGAAGAGGACACCGACGATAGATGCAAGACTCAAGTTATATTTATTGTCCAAATGTTCATCTAAATAAGAATTGTATTTACAACTATGTATATAATTAATGATTTATAGTTTTCCCAAAGCGTATATATAATATGTTTGACACCTCAACATCGATAATTACGTAAATAATTGATATAATTATTCAGGTGTAATAATGACTTTACATTATTACGATATGATAATATATGCATTTGTCACGCCTACGTTCATTACTTCATTTGTTTGAATATAAAAATAAATTTTAAAAGATGCTTGTAAAACCATAAATATTTCACTTAATAGTTAGCACCGGTGTGTGTCTTAATTGTACACCGAATTGTTGGCAATTTTATTGATGAATATCGACGTTGATCAACTGATTCATATTCAAAATAATAAATTTAAATTACAACTCTGCGTTGTATATATGAATTGCAGCCAGAAAATGCAAATAATTGAAGACTAGTTTCATTTTGATATGAATGAAGCAGGAAGAGTTCAATCTGCGTGGCCTTTTATCTATTATAGCACACGAATAAATGTTTAGTTGTTGTTAAATTGAAGGAGAATTGGGGTTAATTTTTTGATTCGACTAATGAAATTATTAGATGGAAACTCCAAAGAACGAATTACAAAAATTGATCTCCAAGGTTCTATGCTCAATAATTTCCTAATTAGTTTAAATTGATTCATTTTCCCTCATGTTTTTCTATTTCATTATCAGAATTTTCTTACTTTGTCAAATATAAATAATTTTTTTACATGAATGTTTTCCTATAACAAAAACTAAATTACTTTTTCTCACAAATAAAACATTTTATATTGCTACACTTTAGATTGAATTTAACTTTGTTAGCATTGATCGTTGCAATGGATTTGCTAGTAGTAATAGCAATTGTGCTAGTCACCAACCTTGGGGGAGATCCGATAGAACGAAAACAAACTCCCATTTGAGTATTTTTGTCTCGCACCAGCGGACTTCCGCACACGCGAAAGGATCGAGATGTGAATGGGTAAAAAAGGACTTTGAAATTCAATTCAACCTGGAGCGTAGCGAGAAAGAAAGAGGCTACAAACAGAACATCGACATGAGTAGCATGCGGGAATTGGAGAAGGATAACAAACAAGGAAGTCATACGTAACCCAAACGTACCAAGCTCACACAGGAACTTGATACTTGATTATCAAGCGGTACAGGCTCTGAATCATCGCGCGCCTTAACTTATCCGACGTATAAATATTACATATTTGTTTTCGTTGCCTTTCGACGTGGATAATATTTACATGGTCCTTGTAACAAATAGCAATTTGTGTTACAAGGCTCTCCCTCTCTCTCTCTCTCTCTCTCTTTCACTCCAATAACTCCATCACCGAATCCGAGCAGGAAAATTCGCCGGGACTTCGAAACCGTTACCGCATTGAGCGCAACGCTCATCGGGCATTCCATTCGATTACGCAACGCGATTTATAAATATCGATTGCAATTGTTGTGCATTGCCGAACTGAGCGATACCAGCGCTTGGGTTTCTTCTTTGTCATTTCATCGATGATGCCGTTTTGTTTGCTTTCGTTTCTTCTTGTATTTCCATTTCGCTTCCTCAACTTGATGAATGATTTTATGGATTCGTCGTACGGTGCTGGGCATGAATGGGGAATTATAATTGATCGGAACGTGATTTATGTTATTGCACGCGTTGCGTAACGGAGCGATGCGAGGGTGAGCTACTATTCTGCTTCTTATTGGGGGTTCTTTGTGCATGTGCCTTTTAGAATTATGATGATCTGTAATCATCGCGAATACTAAAACTAAATTTATGGCGTAATGCTGAACTGGAATTCGCGATGGGGAAAGCATGCAGAAGTCGTACACGAGGTGCTGGGTGGTCAAAGTGTGACCTGGTTCGAATAGATATTTGATGCCATTTGTATTTTCTTCACCTATTGTAGTTCTACCTAAAATTTGCAAAATTTCGATACCATCGTTGAGGCAGGTCATGTGGCTTTCTCGTCTCATTGGTACAGTTCGCACCGGTGGCCCGGGCTGTGTTCGGCTTATTGGCCGTCTATAACCTTGAAAATCACGTCAATGACCGCATGTTCTACCTGTCCAGCCGTGTATATATATATTATATATATTTACTTGTTCAGCCATACGAACCCAAGCATTTTTCTTTCTATCTTTGTATATATATATATATATATGTATACATGTAAACTCTTTGTTTAGTCTGCATTGGGGAGTTTCAGGCGATCTGGAAGATGCTCCATTTCGCAGGCACACATTTTCAGTTCTCCCATTGTCCGTGAAGACATTAACCTGCTTGCAGCTGTCTTGCCAGCTGGTCGTCCATCTGCTTCCGTACAAGATGATCCTTATCATCGAAAACCTGAACTAAAACCAACATGCATTTACATTCACTCCTAATGCAGAGCCCTCATCGTAGTAGATATCACGTACCTAACCTATTCAACCCTACCTAGATGTAGCATTGGTAGTCCGACGGTCGCATCCTCCCCAGCCGAAGTGATCCGATCGATAGGTGACTACTCCAGGACTCATCTATTTTTCATTAAAGCAAATGCCAGTTTCACACACGTCGGCGGCCAGAATCAATCATCCGCGAATTACTGGGCCATTGAATATTTATGCCCTTCGGGTCGTCGAATTGCGCGCGACCGCACGCGACCTGGACGGGTCAGGTCATTTGCCTCGTGCGCAATCGAGTCGAGCTGGGAAAGGGGGGAAAATCTGTCGGTGTGAAATGCAATTAGGGTAATTCCGGGGCCGCTTCCTGTCGCGTTTATGTAAAAATAAGTGGTCGCATTTTGCACCTCAGATGCAAGGCGAGATACGAAGGGCCGTGGTTTCGCGGTATGCATGCGTGCGCGTTCGTCAAGAACTAAATATGTAAAACGAGCAAGAATGGTAAAAAAAAACATACACACACACACATAAAAAGGACGAAATAACGCAAACATAAGGACAGGAGGTAAAAGAAATGCATGCACGTTCGCTGCACCTGTTGTGACCTAATTGTGACCCTTTTTCGTGTCACATGCATTACTTCTTTTCCTAGAAGCGGCTGTACGCGGGAAAATCATGTTCTTTTCTACTTATTTTCCGTCATCGTCGTTGTCGCTTTGTTGTTGCAATGCATCTTGCTTTATTTATATGTGGGTATAAATATATACTCTTGCAGTGAAATACTCTCTGGTCTTTGTTCGTTCTGGCTTCGCTCTCTCTTTTTCCGCCGCGCTCCGCTGCATTTCTAGCTGTAAGTTACTTAAAATACTTTTTAAGTCACTGAACTGTTGCCTTACCACGGACAAAAATAGGCTCGTCGAGGATCCGCCTCAGCTCCCCAATGGGATACTCACCCCATTACGCAATTAGACGGCGCTAATTGCTCGCATCCGGCGCCCTTTGGATAACCGAAAGGACATTTTCCGGATTTTCCTCGGTTGCATAATTAAACTTGACCTTCGTACCGCATATGTCGTGCTCTTTTATATATATATATCTCTCCTTCTCTCTCAAACCAAAACACACATGTGGACAACCAAAGTACCTGCGGTTTATTCTAATTAATTAACTGTACAGTGAAACGAAACAATGGCCTCAAAAAAAAAAGAAAACCAACTAAACTGAATCATCGGTATAAATCACGTATTCCCCCTTTGTTGCAGGTCAGTCAAAGTTTTCCAGCAGCTGCTGTACGTCGCTCCGGGATTCCAAAGGGCCAACGAAGTGCACCTTAGGTTAGGGTTGATGTTTAAAGTGACGCAAGATTATGAATCAGCTTTGAAACATTTGCAACTGGCCTTAGTTGATAATAGTCCTTGCACCACACATAAAAATAAGAGTAAGTTTATGTTGTTATTTTTGCGCGGGTCGTTCTTGTCGCCGCTCCAGCGATAGCGGAAAGCAAAAGAAAGCTAATTGTAAACAGAAAAAAGGAAGCATCGAAATAGTGCATGATAGGTGGTAAAAACAAACAAACTGATAAAGAAACGAATGTGAAGAATGGAAACGCTGAGATGTGAATGTGGAACGAGTGACATCGCAGGAAATTAGTGCAGTTTGATCGTGGATTACGTGAGTACTTATTGTAATTAACGATTTGAGGATTACGTTTATATAACGTGAGAAATGCGATGCATAGGTTTTCGGGTAGCTCTCTGCTTGCACGTGGTGCATGCCATGAGTATTTTTAGATCACGTTTAAGGTCTAATGTTTTCATAGTCGAACTCGAGGTTGTTGTATTTATGTAGAAATGTGCAGCGCGGAGTTAATCGAAATATAAAAATACGAGAGAAGCCTTGTAGGAAGAATCGATGGGCAAATCGCGTTTATTGTAAGACCCTGGTATTCTGAGGTTCGGGGAGCATCGATGCTGCTGATGTCGACGATGTGGAGGAGGTGGGTTCTGGAGTATCGCGCAATTTCCTCTCCGCCGAACTGACCTATCGTAAAAGCGAATGGTGAAAAAGCGGCGTTAGCCTTGGCACGATTTCCTGTATGGTACTTGAAATAGCGTTTCTCTCGGCGTTTCCACGACTCTTTGCTTCCAACTCTATTTTGCTTTTCGCTCGCCAGGGGTGGTTTAAACTTACCGCTCGAAACTGACGATGAAAAAAAAAATACCAACAATGTGTCTCTTCTCTTTTGCAGTTAAGTTTCACATAGCTCACCTATACGAAGTGCAAGGAAAAGTGAAGTTAGCTAAGGAGAAGTATGAGCTATTGCTACGCGAAAAGGAAATAAGCAACCCATTGCGCGCCGAGATTTACAGACAGCTAGGTTTGTCTGCTTTATTATATTTAAAAGGAAAACCCTCTCGCCACTCTCGGGGAGGCGGCAAAATAAAACGATTTTAATGCTATTTCCATAACGGTTCTATTATTAAAATCGATTTCTTTTACGCCACCGGATGTCCGTAGTTTAGTTACGTTTCGTGCGATTCACGCGGGTTCCTCGGGGCTCGGTTTTTGGCTTTAAAAAAAATCCCGCTCCGCAATACACACACTGTTGCTCTCACAAACACACTGGCCTATGGGCGGCTTTTTTTTTCCTGCATGGAACGAGTGTTACGTCTGCAGTATTGCAGTATATTGGACATAGGCATAGCGTTAGTAGGAATCGGAGGGCAGAGGTAGAGGGAGTGAGAGATGGATAGAAATAAGTGCGTTTTTCCTTACAGGATGGCTGTATCACTGTTATGATATATTAGGCGAGAAGCAGCAGCGCATTCATTCGGCCATAAACTGCCTTCAACAAGCGATTACTGCCGAGTCGTGTTCAGGGCAAACCCTATATTTGCTGGGACGCTGTTACGCTAGCGTAGGGAAGGTACATGACGCGTTTATAGCATATAGAAAGTCAGTTGAAAAGTCCGAAGGGAACGCGGACACGTGGTGCTCCATTGGGTAACTACCAGCAGATCTCTCGAGAGCCGGGCATCGCCCGTCCAGACCCATTCTAATCGTTGTTCTTGTAGAGTACTTTACCAGCAGCAGAGCCAGCCTATGGACGCATTACAAGCGTACATATGTGCAGTACAATTAGATAAGTGCCATTCGGCCGCTTGGGCAAATTTGGGAATTTTGTACGAAAGCTGCGGCCAGGCTCGGGATGCTTACGCCTGTTATTTGAATTCGAATCGCGGCGTTGGTAATCGCGGAACCGTCGAGGACAATAGCATCCATCCGAAATCGCCACGAACTCCACTACCTCCCGTAGGAATGAACCCGAACCTCACCCAGAGGATCAATTTTCTCCAAACTCATCTCTCAAACGGACCAATGCCGAGCATCACCAACCCGTAAGTCAACAACAAATAGAGAACTAGTATGGATACAGGAAAACAGATACAACAACAAAAAAAACACATACACACACATAGATGAATACACTCACACATAAGTCCCTTTAATCGTTTAAATAACGGTACAGAAAAGCGCACTTGCACATCATATATAAATAAATAAAAATGTAAGAAGTGTACATACGTACAAGTGTGCCAGACTGAAATAAAATACGGATTTCGATATAATGAGATCAAATAGCAGCGAGCTGAAGGAAAGCTTCCTGCTCGGCGAGACTGTTTTAATTAATTCCTCATCTCGTAATCATTGATCGCGTCCAATTAACACGTCTAATCTGTTCCTCTTCTCTCCAAAAGGCGAAGGCAATTATTGTCGATAGAAGAAGCGTGGAACCTCCCTATATCCGCAGAAATGTCTTCGCGTCAGCAGCAGCAGAGCGGCGCCAACCAGCAAAACCGATCCGGCGCCCAGTCCTTCCAGAAAGCCTATAACCAAACGACACCTCAGGGACCGCCGCCGCCTTATCCATCGCCGGGTGGTCCCAATAAGCGATTTAAGACCGAAACCACAGAGGCGAATAAATCACCTGTTCCGCAGACTCCATCCTTTTATCTGAGCCAGCAGCAGCAGCAACTCCTACATTTTCTGCAGCAACAAAATCCGAATGCACTCAGTCAGCCTCAGCAGAATATGCTGCAGCAACTGCAGCAGCAATACAGACACATGCAACAGCATCAACAGCTTAATCGCAACCGGCCACCGGGGCCGCCCGTGGCTGCATCCAACACATCGTCACGTCCCAGTCAGATAGTCCCATACAATGGAACTAGCTTTAATAATAATCAATCAACAAATGGCACCTCGGCGAACCCACCGAAGCTGTTGCAACCAGCCATCAACGTAGGACCAGCCATGTCCAACGAACTCGACGTGAGTGAGGAAGATTTACAGAATATTCTATCACAAAAGGACATTGCTACCACGTTGGCTGAAAAACTGCTGAAACACTTTGGCTCAGAAATCGACATCAAAGACGAAACACCAATAGGTAAGCAAAGTAAATACATTACACTAGGTCTGTACTTTTAAAACTTCCAACATCTTCCAAACAGTACACTTTAAATTATTTTTTATTTTGATCAAATATTGATAAAAGGAAAATTTTGGAATTGAACTGTACTAAAATATTTAAAAAACAAAACAAATATAAACAACAATCATGTTCACACCAGAAGCTACGCCGAAAGTCGAGGACACCAAAGAGAAAAAACTAAAATCGCCTACTCAAGAAATATTGACGGTCAAGAACGAGCTGCCATGGGAGATGGAACCGTTAAATGCGTCTCGGAAATGCTCCGAGGCGGAATTCAAGATCAACATGAGTGCTAAAACCATCCTCGATATGTGCAAGTGAGTGTCCGAAATGGCGCAAGTCTCACGCCTGATTCGATTTAATTATACCGCGTTTCCAGGGGCGAGGGCATCAAAGGGGAAATCAGTAATTCTCTGATATCTGACAACGCGCCGCCGCCGGCACCGTTGGATCCGCCGACGACCATATTGAATCATCAGCAATTAATCCCACCGACGCCGTCTGTTTACCTGGACAACAAGAAACATGCGTTTAGTCCCCAGTTGCAGGAATTCTGTCTGAAGCATCCAATCGCCGTCGTCAGGGGATTAGCGTCTGCCCTTAAATTAGACCTAGGTCTGTTCTCTACGAAAACACTGGTGGAAGCGAATCCCGATCACAGCGTCGAAGTGCGCACACAGTACCAACAGCCGTCGGACGAGAATTGGGATCCACAGTCGGGTCGTAAAGTTTGGTCGTGTATATCGCATCGATCGCACACTACAATTGCCCGCTATGCCCAATATCAAGCATCCAGTTTCAAAGATAGCCTGAAGGTAATGGAACTTTAAATTTCATCATTTTCTTGTTTCACATTGTGTATTGCAGGAGGAGCGCGATAAAACATCGGGCCCCAGCTACAGTTTATCGGACTCGGATTCTAAGGATTCCAGCGGTTTCGTGAGACGAAAGAAAGGAAATATCCCGGCGCCGCCATCGAACAATGCGAAAAACGTAAACTCGCCGAAAACGTTAAAGTATATCTTTTGCTAATTTCCTTCGAATGGAACATTAATAAATAACCTGCGTTTATTTTCTTCTGCTGTTCAGATTCGGGACAAACGTGGATCTCTCCGACGAAAGGAAATGGCGACCACAACTACAGGAGTTGATGAAGCTGCCAGCGTTCGCCAGGGTTGTTTCAGCTGGAAATATGCTTTCACATGTAGGCCATGTAATTCTTGGCATGAATACCGTCCAACTCTACATGAAAGTGCCTGGTAGTCGAACACCCGGGCATCAGGAGAACAACAACTTCTGTTCGATCAATATCAACATTGGTCCTGGGGACTGCGAGTGGTTTGCGGTGCCAGACGCATATTGGGGTGCGATCTGCGCACTCTGCGAGAAGAACCAGATCAATTACCTGCACGGTTCATGGTGGCCAGTATTGGACGATCTCTATAAGAACAACATACCCGTCTACCGGTTCATGCAGAGGCCCGGCGACCTCGTCTGGGTCAACGCTGGATGCGTCCACTGGGTACAAGCCGTGGGCTGGTGTAACAACATCGCTTGGAACGTAGGCCCTCTCACCGCCCGCCAATACCAACTGGCCATCGAACGTTATGAGTGGAATAAGCTGCAGAGTTACAAATCTATAGTGCCCATGTTACATTTATCGTGGAATTTGGCTAGGAATATTAAGGTTTCGGATCCAAAACTTTTTGCATCTATAAAGTAAGTTCATATATACACCCAACCTCTGCTTCAATGCAGCAGCTTTCATTTATTACTCCTTATTTCCAGAAACTGCCTGATGCGGACATTGAGACAGTGTTCTATGATCTTGGAATTCGTGAGGCATAAGTTGGTGGATGTGAAATTCCACGGCCGCGGCAAGAACGAGGCGTCGCATTACTGTGGGCAGTGCGAGGTAATTATCCTTCTAGTTTCACCACCATTTTCATTCAAACTAGACTATACCCATTTGTTATACAACTTTATATTCGACTTAATACACAATCAATTAAAATAAACGACGCTCGCTGCAATTGAAATACGTGCATGCAGATATAGTGCAATTACGTAACGCTCGGTGTAGTTTAGATGGATTTTCCATCCTGGGGATTCTGACTATTTCAATAATAATAATAATAATAAAAACGCAGTGAACTTTGATATTTGAAAATAAAACATATTTTAATTTTACATGAGAATTAGCGTCAGAGATTAACTTCTCTTCGACCCGCGTTGATAATCAGCGCCATTTTACGTTCTAGTTGGCAGAATGCACGTTTATTTCCTCTATGCATCTTAAAACCAGCATATCATTCTTAGAGGAAACATTCATTATATGGGAATATTTACCATTTCCGACTAAACCATAAACAGACACGTTGATATGAATTATGCATGATTTTCTGGTTAATTAAAAGCGAAGTCGTATGAAATTCAAAATTAAATAAACTTCCACGGAATGTTATAATCTTTTTCTTTGCTTCTTTGCACATAAAATAAAAATGTCATGACACTTCGTGGAACTTTCATTGCATTGTGTTTTTTTTTCTGGGCGATAAAAGTGTTATAGCCAAGACCGTGCTTTTTATTGAAGTAAATTGAAGTTTTACTCAACATGTAGGTGATATATGTACAATCATAAAGCTTCTTCGTAAATTCATTTTATCGCTATATCGTTACAGAAAACTTTACTTCCTTATTATCAATAATTTAAACGAAATTATTTAATATTCTCATCTACAGTATTAAATTCTAGATTAAATCACAGATCATAAAGTGAACATTTTTAGAAAATTTATGACGTTCAAAATATAAATTATAATAAAAAAATAATCTTTAAACGAATATATTTTAATAGTTATCATAATTGAGTTTCTAGTTTAATTATCAGGAAATCGTTTAGAAATTGAAAGTAAACATTGATGTTTTCCTCGTCAAGTAATGGACTACATCGGTTTCGAGTAAAGAGAGACATGCTGAACGATCTGAAATGCGTATTGGAAACCTATAACACTTATGTGCTATTGTAATTAGGTAAAATTTCACACCGAAGGCCACAACGTGAAATTGATGTAACTTTCTACACCCATTAGGAAATGAGTACTGTCTGTTTTACTAATACCACCTGTACTATTTGTTTCTTTCGTTTTTGCAGATCGAGGTGTTTAACATTCTGTTCATAAGGGAGCAAGAGAAGAGACACGTCGTGCACTGCATGGAATGCGCCAAGAAACAGTCACCGAATCTAGATGGGTTTGTATGCCTGGAGGAATACAGCATGAGTGAACTGATGGACGTCTATGACAATTTCATCCTACATCCAGTCGTAAGTGCAAATCCGGAAATGTACCACCGTCTACCTTCGTAAATCTATTTTTACACGATTCAAAATTTTTAAGTAAAACGAAATTAACGAAAAAAAGATAAATAAATACTTTAAATAGATATAAAAGGAACACATGTAATATTTTAAGTAACTAAGAGAAAAATTAAGAAACATGACTAAGAAGAAGAAGAAAAATAATTTAAAAAATAAGAAGAGAGAAATGATAACACTGCCACTTGTAACTGATGTACAACTAATGTAAATGGTTTGCTTTCTTATGTATATGCGTTTATAAATGTTCAAGTATACGTAGATACACGTCAGTGAGATGATGATACTAGCTTGTATTTATGTATACCTGGTATACATGTACGACAAATATTTTTCAGTGATATATAATCTAAGTGTAGATAAAAGGAAACAAGATGTTTAAGATGAAAGCGAGGCAACGGTATATTTTGTTTTCTCTCCATTTCGTGTTTTTGTATATATTTATTATATAATTAAGGATAGTACGAGGACGATTCGGGAGAAGTTATTGGAACGTCAATATAATGTAGATCAGAAAGGATTTCAAGCACCCTAAAGAAAGTGATCTCATAGAAATAATAATTTAGCACATTATATCTTGTACATAAATCAACAGAAAATTCAATGGAATGCATCAATCAATTAAAATATATATATATAAAAATATTTATGTATATATAAATATACGTATTATTACAAACATGTAATAATGAATATATTTATAAATATATCAATATAAGTAGGATTATATTTATTTAAACGAATTTTTAGAGTAATTCTTACTTTTAACAATTGTATTGAAAGTAAATCGATGTTTATGATTGATTAATAATTTTTCATTTTGAATAGTTACTGACCACTATACACTGCCAAAAACAACACGTATATATATATGCCACTATATATATACGTGTATATATATCATAATAATAATAATCGTCTAATAACCCAATCATATTTTAATATATAACTATGTGTAATTTCGAATATTAGTAACTGCGTAGACTACTATATCCATTTTTGTTTGTTCGATATCTATATATGTGTATATATATACGATGTTTGTATATTTTCTACTTTTAATTTTGTAATTCGAGGTAAAGGAAGAGGAAAAAAAAAGAGTAGGAAAAAGAGAACGTAATGATTGGCCACAAGGTTCGCCAATATGTGATACACACTGCCCTATCAAACCAAATTTTGTTTGTAGACAGTCTGGGTTCGTAACAGTGCCTTCAATTACTGTCTAAGGAGAAAAAAAAAGTAATATCTACTACTAAGAACTTAGGTAAAGAGAAATGAAGAAAAAAATTAAATAAAAGAAAATTAGAAAAATACGATGAGAAAAATAATTATTTTTTTGCAATCATGACCAACGTTTCACCAACTGTCCGGTTGTATATATATATTTATACTTATTGATAAGGATAACAAATGTGTAAATTTGAATTGAAATTATAGCTCAATTTTCTATGTGTTGTAATAATATTTAAGTAGTCAGTATATGATATTTTTTTTTTATTAATCGATTACAAGTATGTCATTCTTTATTATACGTTCCCTCGATTGCGTAACTTTCATTATTTTTACTCTTTTTTTTTTGTATTTGTCGTTACATCGTTCTGTTTATTATTTCCTTTATTTGTTCAGTTTTATTTCGATTCGGTAAATAAAAATTATTTTTATTATTATTACTACTATTATTATTATATTATTATAATGTAATAAATGAGATGCTATATCTTGGATGGAAAGTCTGACTTTTATTCTAAGTAACGTAACTTGTATTTGTAATTGAAATTAAATATTACAAGAAAACAAATGTAAGCAATACTAGTTTGTGAAACACTATATCGTTTATTTTCCTTGTACTTCCTTCTGTAATTTTGTCCATTCCAAATTATAGCTGTTCTATAGGTAAGTAATTCATATATATAGACGTTTTTCTCCACAACTCCTAAAGATAATTACATCAGCGTTTTCCAAACTGTGAGGCGCGCCTCCCTAGGGAGGCGCGAATATTAGTAGCAGTAAGCTATTTTCCTAACATCTGCTAAAGTATAGATAGATTCCTGTGCTCTTATCCATATTGCTGTAATACGCGTTAAAAGTTGAAAAATTGAAATTAGAACGTTCGTGTTTTACATTTCATTGATTTACTCGAA